CGTCTTGAGTGAAAAAATTTTTATCATACTGAACTGCGTTCCCACAAAAACGATTCCACGCCTGTATTTATTTATTTTTGATCATTGGCCTGATTAATTTAGATCACCGAAAATACAAAGATCAGGCTTATTTCGTTGCCTACTTCGATAAACAGTAGTCACTGAAAACTGCATGAGAACAGTTAATTTACACACGAAGCAAGCAATCTAGCTGGTTAATCGAATGACCGACCAGTACCGACATTCTGCCGTCTCTCATGGCCTTCTTCAGGTGGAACCGGATTAACTTCCACAGTTGGTTTTGTAGCCCGCAGCCGCTGTCACGCTTTAAACCAAAGGTGTGCTTTTGACCCATGCTCCTGATGAAGCAGCTTTTCAGTAGCGGGTTTTCTTTCGTCTAGTTACTGAATTCAACGGTTTAACCTAAACAGGTGCCACACTGAGATCCAGTACTTTGAGCTGTTGTTCAGACGCCAGTAGGCAATCTTTCTGCAAAACGGTCCATGGACGAACCCCGAAAACCAACAGTACCAGTTCATCATAAATTTGATAAATGCATACTTTTCTAGCGTCTGCTAAATCAAACTTTCCACTGTCTATTCAGCATAAACAACGAATTCGCCCTTGCGTGTTTAGTAGGAACTACGTACAGGAAATGACAGCAACTAGAATAGTACATTTCCGGAATACGGCAAGGCCTAAGATTACGAAGATGGAGATCTGCTCACGAAGAGGAACATGAATTAAATCACAGCGAAAAGCTTGAAATAAATCAGACCGTTTCAAGCGGATCAGACATCACGATCAACGCCACAATGAGTTCAAGTAATACCAACCTTAAATCATGATGATATTGAGAACAACAACAGTCCAGGGCACTCATCAAAGCTGTGAAACATACACTTCTGACTTAAGCATTCAAGAGCACACGTGTACTGTGTAAAAGATGAAACAACCAAACGAAATTTAACGAAACCGTAAAATAACAGAACATTGCATTAAACAGTTAGCAGGAGCAAATTGGGGATCGACAACAGCGGAAATTCTGCAACATTACTGCACAAAAATTACCATTGCGACAATCTCCGCCAGTCGAATGACTTAAAACTGTTGCAAATTAGCATGACATGTCAGTAAAAATTCGACCAATAAAACATCAATTTCTGCAGATTTTAACTATGCCAAAAATATAAAGCAGATTCACTGAATGGAAAAATAGTGTAACGAAAAAGGATGATAATTAAAAGTGCTTAAATTTTAAGTTATCAGGAAAAACAATGTACTGAGTTAACTTACAGTGTTCAGCAACAGTACTCGAAACCAACGCCAGATGATTTATTCACCCTTTGTCTCAGCCTTACGGCAATCAGAGAGCAAACTTGATAATCATGTGCTGTAGCCAACATCGTACTCTTATTCATCTGAATTACTTTTATCTAAATGATGAAACCTAATAGTTTGTGTAAACTGTACGGTAGAATCTCAGTCAAACAAAATTAAGGAAATTTTGTCTCATTATTTGACTGTTAAAACTTCAATGAATTGATGGCACAACTGCCAGCTGTGTTGTCAACCGATAGTACTGCTGAATCCATAATCATAGTGTATTGGATGGCATTATGTAAACGTAGACTTACTGGACGGAGTGGATTAAAGCAAGATGCTTCCTACAATAAAGTAAGTTATTGTACTAAGTTCGCGCCTTTATACTGTGTGGTTCTGTTCTATTTATATGTTGTTTCACAGTTAAAACAATGATTCCGGGTTGAAACGGCGAATGCACACCGTAAAGAAAGAAAAATCAATTTCTAACTTTCAGCCAGCAGCCGACTGCACCACTTAATTGTTTCTGGTCACCTAGCGTATCAATTTAAACATACCACTGCTCCTTGGCATTTAAGCAACCATTAAGTCGAAGCACACTGCTGATTGACTGAAATGTCTTTTCTCATGATTTAACTAAAAAATTCTATCTACATAATCGATAGACTGATGACAGTATTACACTGTTGAAAGCGGGTTACAGTTCGCTGTTGCCAGTCGCTTCAGGGTTTGAGACCGTGGCGAAGTCTCCATAAAACTTCGCCACGTGCCCTTCATGGTATTGACGAGATCAAAAATAATACCGGCGCGATTGTCGCCCGGGTTTCCAAAGATCATGCAGGATGTTGGAGGAATGAGACAGACTGCGAAAAGGCGCCGAACGGAACCTGCTGATCGCCTTCTGTCAGTCGCTGGCATAGCAGCACAACAACACCTGAAGAAGATCGACGGAACGACGACCAAGAACCAGGTACGAGTCAGCAACGGAGTCGCTACCCGTTCTGAACAAAGACAGAC